TGCGCAGAACAGTGCCAGGAACACGTAGAAGGCGTCCCAGATAGCCTGAGCCACACTCTCAAGCCGACCTAGATCTGTTGAGGGAAAAGACGATGAATAAAAGAGAGGAATATGGAGAGAAAAAAGAGGGGAGAAGAGGAGGAGGAGGAGGAGGGGGAAAAGAAGAGGAAGAGGAGGGGGGAGAAAAAGAGGAGGAGGAGGAGGAGGGGGGGGAGAAAAAGAGGAGGAAGAGGAGGAGGGGGAGAAGAAGAAGAGGAGGAGGAGGAGATATGAAAGAAGGTGTAATGGAGGGAGAATGAAAAGGAGTAAAAGAGAGAAAGAAGGGAAAGGTGTAAGAGAGGGGGAGAAAAAAAAACGGTTATTATGACTACCGTTATTGCTGTTATTATGTTGATATCCTACCGTCAGTTACTGTCATCATTATAAGTATTATTATCACTATTATCTATTTCATGATCGGTATCGTTATTCATGGCATAAAGATCATCTCCAACGTCATCATTATTATCGTAATTCTTATGAAGATTATTAGTAGTTAAATCATTATCCCATTATCATTATTATCACTGCTTTTAATTACATTATCTTTTAGTTATCTTTATCACTAATACAACCATCACCAACTATTATCATTATCATCATCATAGCCACAATTCTTATTTCTTATATATGCCTTATTATCATCATCATCACATGAATAATGCACTAAGAAACAACGCAGACAAACAAATGTCTGGAAAACAAAACTGGATTCCGTAAATAGTGTGTCTTTCCTTAACCCACCCTAAGGCTGTCTACCTTCCTTGCCCTTTCGTTCTTCCCCAGGCTCTCTCTCTCTCTCTCTCTCTCTCTCTCTCTCTCTCTCTCTCTCTCTCTCTCTCTCTCTCTCTCTCTCTCTCTCTCTCTCTCTCTCTCTCTCTCTCTCTCTCTCTCTCTCTTCCAATTCCCTCCCCGTTTTCCCTCCCTCTCCTTCCCATCACCTTTCCGTCTCTCTCCCTCTCCCTGCCTTCTCCCTCCCTCCCTCTTGTCTCCCTCCCTCACTCCCTCCCTCCCTCCCTCCCTCTCCCTCTCCTTGCCTCCCTCCTTTCCTCCCTCTCCCTCTCCTTGCCTCCCTCCTTTCCTCCCTCTCTCCCTCCATCCTTCCTCCCTCCCTCTCTCCCTCCCTCCCTCCCTCCTTTCCTTCCTCTCTCCCTCCTTCCTTCCTCCCTCTCTCTCTCCCTCCTTCCTTCCTCCCTCCCTTCCTTCCTACCTTCCTCCCTCCCTCGCTCCCTCTCCCTCTCCTTGCCTCCCTCCTTTCCTCCCTCTCTCCCTCCTTCCTTCCCTCCCTCCCTCCCTCTCTCTCTCCCTCCCTCCCTCCCTCCTTTCCTCCCTCTCTCCCTCCTTCCTTCCTCCCTCCCTCTCTCCCTCCTTCCTTCCCTCCCTCCCTCCCTCTCTCTCTCCCTCCCTCCCTCCCTCCTTTCCTCCCTCTCTCCCTCCTTCCTTCCCTCCCTCCCTCTCTCTCTCCCTCCCTCCCTCTCTCCCTCCTTCCTTCCCTCCCTCCCTCCCTCTCTCTCTCCCTCCCTCCCTCCCTCCTTTCCTCCCTCTCTCCCTCCTTCCTTCCCTCCCTCCCTCTCTCTCTCCCTCCCTCCTTCCCTTCCTCCCTCTCTCCCTCCCTCCTTCCTTCCCTCCCTCCCTCCCTCCCTCCCTCCCTCCTTCCCTCCCTCCTTCCCTCCCTCCCTCCTTCCCTCCTCCCCCTCTATCCCCCTCCCTCCCTCCCTTCCTCCCTCCCTCCTTTCCTCCCTCCCTCCCTCCTTCCCTCCCTCCTTCCTTCCCTCCCTCCCTCCTTCCCCCCAGTCACCTCAGTCCACTTCCTCTTTCAATTCAAAATATACCAAAAAGGTCTTATTGAGATGCAGGCGAAAGTTTGCGATAGATTTGCATATTTTGAGTGATAAGAAGAACGGAGAGTGATAAGAGAGGTGAATGAGAAGACGAGATGTGATAGAAAAGAGGATGAAGAAAATAAGGATTTAGAAGGTATAGAAGATAATATTTGTTAGCGTATCTGAATATCTATATTTGTCTGTTTGTTTGTTTGTCGGTTTGTCTGTCTGTCTGTCAGTCTGTTTGTCTGTCTGTCTGTCTGTCTGCCTGTCTGTCTATCCACTTATCTATTTTCCAACCCATCTATTTACTCACCTATATGTACTCATACACGTGTGTGTATGTTTGCATGTGTGCATACCTATGTATCAGTATATGTATGTGCATGTGTGTATCTAACACGACAAACAACCAACAAACAAAACGAATCTAGGCGTGAAGACATACACGGCAATCCCATACACGCATTCCGAGTGAAAATCGGAACCACACACACGTATATTCGGTCTACAGAGATTTTAGTTTAAGCCTTCTTATTCACTCGAAAAGCACCCCTTCTGATGTATGACGCCAATGAAGAGAAGAACGAGCTAAATTAGGCTATTAACTGCTGACCGAGATTGCGAGGCTGCCTGTG